GCTCCCTCCCTCCCCCCCCCCCATCGCGCAGTCCTGGCTGGGCTGCCCATGAGCCGGAGAAGAGCCCCCAGCACCGGGCTGCTCCGCCCTGCCTCGCCATAGCAGTGAGGTCTTTGCTAAAGCCAAATAAACAGGAAGTTGGGGTCCAGCTGCAGCACATCTGGCTGGGGCAGCGGGAGCTTCGGGAGCAGCAGGCTTCTCAGCCTCTGACTCATGGCCACCCCTTGGCGGGGCCCCACCTGCCTCTCTGAAGCCTGACGGGATCCGGGGCCCTGTGTCCCAGCCATGCCCCGGCACTGAAAGGGTTAATGGTTCCCGGAGCCCTGGCTTCCCAGGCTGCCATACTGGAGCTTGGGGACAGGAGCCATTAGAGCCAGCCCCACTGGGGGCTCACCTCCCCAGCTGCAAGGGCGTAGCAGGGGACCAGAGGCCCCACTGGGCTGGTCCCTAAGGGTATGTCTACACTAGCCCCCTAGTTCGAACTAGGGGGGGTAATGTAGTCATACGGAGTTGCAAATGAAGCCTGGGATTTGAATTTCCCGGGCTTCATTTGCATAAAGCCGGCCGGCGCCATTTTTAAATGCCGGCTAGTTCGGACCCCGTGCCACGCGGCTACACGCGGCACGGACTAGCTAGTTCGGATTAGGCTTCCTATCCGAACCTGCTGTACGCCTCGTTCCAAGTCCCGGGCTTCATTTGCAACTCCGTATGACTACATTACCCCCACTAGTTCGAACTAGGGGAGTAGTGTAGACATACCCTAAGACTAAGGAGCCGTCTCCATGGGGACATGACTTCCACGGGAGCCTCTGCCCCACATGTCCCTTAGCCCCTCATGCAAAGCATGCTGGGAACGGCTTCTCCCTTCACAGGCACTCCTTGGTGCTGACCCCCCAGCCTGCCTGGGCAGAGCCAACAGGGAACCGGCCCTACTCTCCTTGGCGCCCTGGCAGGGATGGGGCTGGCTGCACAGCCGGCCCCTCCAGATGAGGGGCAGGGCCCTGCTGCTGGGCGTCTCTCTGGAGCAGACGCGCCAGTGGGCCTGTTCCTTCCTCAGGCTCCTGCAACACAAGCAAGGGCTGGGCTGAGGCTGGGCGGGGGCCGAAGTGGAGCACAGGCAGCCCCAGCTTGGGCTGGATGGATACCTGGAGGCTTCGCCCTGTGACAGTCTCTCATCTCTGGAGACTCTGGGCCAATGCTGGAGGGCTGGCAACTTCACCCAGTCCCTGCTCCTGGGGGCCTGCTCCTGCCTGGCCAGCCCCTGGAGCCAGAGGGTGCTGCTGGGGCCAGGGCTGAGCTGGCTCCTCC